TGTTCAGTCATGCACCAAACTTCTCCATGGCATTCATCATTGACAGTTGCTTAAAACAATTGCAACTACTGTCTCATATTTGTAAGTCCTGGGAAGAAATGCATGCATATGGCAGAATCTGCAAATGCACTCACCATGTTTGTTATCTAGTCGAGCAAACAGCATGCCATATGAAAGAAGTAATCGAGGATGTCTGCATCAAATTGTTTCAAGAGATTAAAAGAAGGAAAGAAACAAAACCTTCAAAAGATTTGGGGCAACTGGCAGTTTCATACCCTTGTCAACCCACTGCCTTTCTTCTGCGCACCTAAGCTGTCATGTACATTTACATATACCATCATGAGGCAACACAGATTTCCTTTGTACATTCACACAAACTGAACCATAAAGTAAACAGCCTACCATTTTAATTGGAGATGGTGATAGAAAGTCGTAAAACCCTCGAGCCACCGCTACAAACTTCAATTTTCATGCCCTTCAGCAAAATCTATGAATCATCATAAACATCACGTTGGTAAGTAGTTTATCCTGGTTAAATGGTCTACATAAGCCTGAAACTGAACATGTTTCACTAATCACTAGCATATCCGTCATTTAGTCAAAACACACACACCCATTTAACAACTGTTTACCACTAAACTCAGGTGAGGATTTCCAGCATAAACTTACATACAAAACATTAACAATGACAAACACAGTGAGACTTCATTACCGAAGATGGAGTTCAGTAAAGTGCTTACCGTGGAATGTGGTTGGATCAGTCAAATTGGCGATAGAAACTTCCAAGCTTTCCGAGTAAAGGTCCTTGGTGTATCCAACTCGGCTGTGTATGTTTAATGTCCCACCGAGTCACCAATGACACCAACCCAACCGAGATATTTTCTTCCTAGCTACGGCGCGATCCGCTGCCTGTCTCCCACAAAGTAAAGTATCTCCCTCCCTCTTCCTCTACGGCAAGCAAAGAAGACCATAAATCAGTTGCGAAATTAAAACCCCAATTATAGGGATCCTAGTGTTGGAGGAATGAACGGTGGCTTGTGAAAATTCAATAATCCATCATAATTCTCTTATTTCCCCTGCTCCTTCTGTGAATCTATGCTCTACTGCTCTATCATCTGGCCGCCCGTCCTCCCGCAACATCCACCTGCCCATTTCCGAAACAACCACTGCAACTAATTATCAAAAATCTAATTCCACAATCACTCAATAACTATAATCAAGTGAAATAAAATATTGACGAGAATAAACAAATTCCACAATCACTCAACAACCACTGGCCGCTTCGTCCCCTACCATGCGTGGCCTTCCCCTGCTTTTTACGGCGGCGACGCCGGTAGAAAGTCCGTCGTCGGCGGGGTAGAGGCAGGACAAGTCGCCGGACTGATTTTGGCCAGACCACCGTAGGAGATCGAGGAATGGTGTTTTGGCTCGTTAGATCGTCTACCCGCTGTTCCCCTGTTTCTGATTCTTCCGAAAAATAAAACTAATATCAGTTTTTTTTTTAAGGCCAATACTACAGTGCCGCGGTAAAAAGTGCGGCACCGGTGTCGCGGCTTTTCATTGGTCCACATGGAGATGATGTGGCATTGATTTTGCTTAATTAAACCCAACCAAACTCATGTGACCCGTTAGAATGGCCCAAACGGCCTGGCCCAAAGTAACGGCGTTAAGATTCTCCGTTCAATGCTTTGTTTTCGTTTTTCTGATTAATTAATTAAATTAAAAATCATATAATTGCTTTTTCAGGAAAATCAGAAAACATAGAAAGGATCGAAACCAAACAAACCAGAACCACAATTCAACGATCTACCTCACCGCCGGCCTCGACATAATCACTCTCGGCGACTTATCCATAGTAGATCACATATCCCCGGTCTCCCTATCGATTGAAACCCCTCACTCCCTCCTACATTGATTCTGTATGACAGAGGCAAATGAATCCCTCGTGTTTCTCTGCTTCTGTCTCCATGTAATAGCATCGCCGCCAAACGGCCAAAGTACCAGAATATCGCAAATCAAAGAAGAAGAGAATCGCCTCCCTCTGTGTCGTCCGCCTCGCTTTGAATAATCTCTGTTGGAATCGTCAAAACCAAGTTCCACAAGGCGTTGACTTAATTTCTCCACCAATGAAAAGGCTTTGAGGTAATTTCTATTAATGAATATTAGAGGAGGTAGGAAAATCATGTCGGTTGTTTCAGTTCCAGTTTTTGCTTTGAAGTTGTAAGTTAGGGATTGGGAGACTCGTATTTTGTAGTTCATTTGTTGTCTTGGAATCAAATAGCAGGGGAATTGATGTTTTGTCCCTATTTTGTTGTTGTTCTCCCCTTCCCTCTTTCAATTGCATTTGAAATTGATGGGAGGCTGCTCCTCACAATGAATTGAATTTGAAATACGTGAAAAGCTTACTACCAATTTTCTTACACTTGCCAACATAACTACTCTTTTTATATCTGAAAACACCCTACCCATAGCCTATTTGACATGAAGATCCCCACTCCCTTTGTCGCCTTTGTTTTACATCAGTGATGTATCATCTCCATTCTCCCCAGTGTAATCACTAATTCCTACCTCCCTGGGATTAGTTTATTCAAAAACAAGCATGTCCATATCTGATACAGTTGCTTTTACATAAGAAATCCTCTATTAGTTATTTTCTTGTGTGTTAAAATTGGTCACTTAAGAGAATGAAATTAACACATGCTTGTGCTTGCCTTCACCGTAAGGGGCTTCATTCACCATACGCAAGCGGGATGAGGCTTCTCGTTCATTGTTCAAGTCCTCCTGTCAGTGATAAATCACGATCAGAATTGGTGTCCCTTCCTTATGGTGGCAGATTTAATTCTTGTGGAACAATAACCATACTCTACCTGTCATGTCAACTATGCTTAATTGTAATAGGGTTTTCTCTCAATTTCGTGCAGGTTATGTGCAACAAGTCTAGTTGAGAGAGAGTTTAGAACAACAAGGTTTTTGCTACTGGGGGTTGAAGCACACCCGGTTGGGGAGGTTGATTACACTGTTCTTAGTACGAGTAGTGCGATAGGATGGTTTTGCTTTGCTGGTCTTGTGTGCCTAGAAGCTTCCAATGAAGTTTAATGGGGCTGTAACAGTTTTGTTCTCTTTTCGATGAATGATGGTTGTATCAATGGTATAAGAGTAAATGGAAAGGAAAACAATATATCAACATGATTGTTTTTTCTGTCTCCTAGTTTCAGCCTCGTTGTCTTCCTAATACATTTTTCATTTTGTTGCTCCTGGTATAACACTGTGTTTCATTCCTAGCAACTCATCATTCCCCTGTATGAAAAGACTCAATCCTTAAGCTTTTAAGGAAATCATTGTAAGGTTTTCCTGTGCCAATTTCTTTATCGCATGAGAATTAATTAAGATTTTCTTTTGAAGCATAGCGACAAAAAATCCAAGGCATGGATATAAACTTACCTGATGCAATAGTTCATTTAGAGAGTAAATGATATGTGTCATGTGTGGCCCTTGGATTTACATCTACTCTAAAGCAACTGTAAAAGTATAAAATTAGGATGACAAAATGTCAAATTCTTCCCTCCATCCTTGATCATTGCCAGCTGTTTGTTTCTTTGCCCCCATCTCCCAATCCAACTGCTGTAGCAGTAGGAGTATCATGTTAATCTTTTAGCCAACTGCTAAGAAGCCTTACGAACCTGCAGCTGCTAATGATGCAGTCCACTGTACTAGCTCCATGGTCTCAGGCTGAGAAGAATGATCTGCAAATATCCCAAAACATTTAAAACTTTGCAACTCGAGCTCTCACAAGCTCTACCTTGATGCCTTGAACCGCAGCTCATACCTTGTGCTCTGAATCATAGCGTCCACCTAGTGGATGGTAGTGCAACCATCGACATTCATGGTCGATGTGTAGAAGAAGGACAGGTGCGTCCCGCGGGACATGCTTGTCAGTGAAGGTATTAGGCTGAACCAGACGCTGCCATTTAATGTCACTTCATCAAGCATTGTTCTTATTCAATTATTCTCCAAGGCTGCTCAAAGTACAAACGAATCGAATTACTTGGAACCCTCTGAATTCGTTGGGGAAACTCTCTATGCACTCCCATAGAACATATTCTATTTCGACGATTCCAACAGAGAGGGGGCAGAGGGGAGCGCCCTTTTATTGTGGATTGTGATCGTCCAGTAAGGTGGCGGTTCGACAGAGACAGGGTCAGTAGGGGCAAAGATTCTTTCGTTTTTGTTTCAACAATAAACGTAGGAGGAGGAAGATGGTGAAGGAGATGAATGGAGGCATATGGTAGAGACTTGAGACTGGATCAATTACAGTGAAGTTCGCTGGAACTGGGGTTGACAGTCCGGCGGAGAAGAGCGAGGAATACGAAGTGATTCTGTTCTAGGTTTCCTTTTTTTTTCCCCTCGTAACAACAAATGCAACACTAAGTCTGTTCCGTCTGTTTGGGTAGGTCTGATGGTCATCGGTTTTTGGTTCGGATTAAACAAAATGAGTGCCACATAATCATCCACGTGGACCAGTAAAAAGTCGCGTCACCGGTGCCGCACTTTTTATAGCGGCACTGTAGTATTGGCCTTTTTTTAAATGACACAATGAACGTTGGAAGGAGAAGGTTTTTCCGTTAGTTTTGGGTTAGTGGTTAGTACTCATGGGCCAGCCGGCCAGGATTGGATTAATAAACCAGTCAGGCCACGTCAGCGCCATGTGTCCCAATCAGAAACGGCGTCACCGGTGCCGCACTTTTAGTGCGGCACTGTAGTATCGGCCTAAGCCTCATAGGTAAAGCCCATATGGTCAATGTTGGTGGAGCTCGTCAGCCTCGGTGCTCACACTCACCTCAAGTGAAAGCGACGGCGGGGTAACGCCAATTGCTTACCCATCAGAACTTCCGCCATAGAAACGACATCTTTGTTCTCTTCTCCAACGAAACGAAAAAACGAAAGCGATACCTTTCGTTCCTTTACCGACGGAAGCTCCTACAGGCTTAAACTTTCCTCGAATTGACTCCCTCTTTGTCTTTCAACTCAATGGGATGGTTAGTAACTCTAACGTTGATACTCTGCACCTGCCACGCGGAGGCGGCGGCGGAGGAGGATCGTTCAAGACAACCTGAGCGGCTGAGTTCGCTGACTGAGGAGCTGCTGCGGATAGCGAGGGAGCCGGATTTCTTGGGGTGGCTGAGAAGCGTCCGGAGGCGAATCCACGAGAACCCGGAGCTGGCTTTCCAAGAATTCAACACGAGTCAACTGGTGAGATCGGAGCTCGACTCACTCGGCATTCAGTACACCTGGCCGGTGGCGGAGACCGGCGTTGTTGGTTCGATCGGGTCTGGGTCGCAGCCGTGGTTCGGTCTGCGAGCAGACATGGATGCTCTGCCCATTCAGGTTCGTTCTTCTTTGGCCGCCGGTGTCTCCGTTAAAAGTGGGATGTCTTGTCATTTCGTTTTTATCATGGTTAAATTGAAATTTTCATTAGTTTATACGAAATAGAATATAAAAATCCGATCCGTAGTGATTGTGATTAGGGCGAACAAAAGCCGTTAATTAATGAAATGTCCGAGTAATCACAATTACCATATAAAATAGGTTAATATCACAATTTGGCAGAAACTTTATACTTATGATTAATTTGATTCGAACTTTTCGAAACCTCTAAATTCTACAAATCTCAAAATAACAAGATCGAAAGTCCTCACATGCGGTGTTCAATAAAATTTGTATTTTTGTAAATATGAATTAATATGTTAACGAAAAAATAAAAGCTCACACAATGCATTTTATATTATGTGAATTAGTAAATGTAACAATATAACCTAATATCGGTTAAGGAAAGTGTGTGTACAGCCACATATAAGGCCATGTTGAAACTAGTGAGTCATTTCCTAAAATACTATATTCTTAAGCTATGAGTCTATGAAAGTAAATTGAACTTATGGCAAAATAGGCCTCATATTTGAAAATACAAGTGTATGCAAATATAAAAAATTTATTTGAAATAGTTGGGAAACTCACAAAATTCTCAATCGATAAGGATTCGCAAAGTATTGCCTAAATAGATCATAGATGTGATTGAAATACACTTGAGAAGTGACCTCTAGTTGAATAACCAGAAAACTCATAAATATTGTCAATTTATAAGGATTCGAAAATGAAAACTCCATCGTTGATATATACGGGATCGGTTGGCTTTTAGTTGAACAGTGTAAATTTGAATAATGTAATAGTTGATGAAATTCTTTTTTAGATTCTTTTATATTATCCAAACCTATTAAAATTCTATTAATTATCCAAATCTTTTATGATGCATCAAAATATTAGTCATTTTTACGTTGTCGTTAATAATTTTGTAACTCTTTTCTTAGTTAAAATATTAAAATTTTTGAATGTTTACCTTCATGAGTCTCTTCCAAGTTAGTATCATTTTGCCAAGTTAATATTACTAACAAAATTGCTAACCGAAAGTTAACATATTTGGCTAATTCTTTGTATTTTGATAGATTTGGATAATATAAGTGAATTTGAAAAAAATTCGGATAAAAAATAGACATTGCCCAACAATAACAATGCTAGAGTTAAGATATTTACATATCAACAATTTATCAATTGGACGAACAAGGCGTCCAAGGAATTAGTCAGGTGGTAATACCACTAGCCTTAAACCTGAAAATTCCAAGTTCGAATCCATTTAGTAGTACCTAATAATAAAAAAATTATATCACCCTTATACAAAAATTATAAAAATAATGTATCTATTTTAACCACACAAACCTGACTCTGACAGTCTCCATGAGCAAAATTAAGCGTGTTAATCGAAATGTTTGTTTATGTACAGGAAATGGTAGAGTGGGAACACAAGAGCAAGAACAAGGGCAGGATGCATGCTTGTGGCCACGACGCCCATGTCGCAATGCTACTCGGCGCTGCCAAGCTGCTTAAACTTAAACATGGCGATATAAAGGTAAACCACCTTCATAAACTACAATCAGTCTACTCTACCGTGATCTTAATTTATTTCTTTCGTGGTAATCAACTCTCTTAACTCGTCATCCGGAGAAGGGCACTGTGAAATTGGTCTTCCAACCAGGAGAAGAAAGTCGAGCTGGCGCTTACCACATGCTCCAAACCGGTGCTCTGGACAACATCCAGGCAATGTTTGGCCTCCACGTGGCACCCGAGATGCCGGTCGGCTCAATCGGTTCCAGACCAGGAACATTCCTCGCCGGCTCAGGAAGGTTCTTGGCCTCCGTCAAAGGGATCGGCGGGCACGCCGCCCGGCCACAGGACACAAGGGACCCAGTTGTCGCTGCTTCCTTCATCATCCTCGCCCTCCAGCAAATCATCTCCCGCGAAACTGACCCTCTTCAAGCTGGGGTACTACTTACTCCCATCAATTCCTCCTTCCCGATCTCTTACTTTTCCAACCCAAAGGGGAAACGAAAAAGAATTCTGAATGGTGGTTGGTATGTCGTTGGTTCAGGTGATATCAGTAGGATTCGTGGAGGGCGGCCGAGCGGAGAACGTGATCCCGGAAACGGTGAAGCTGGGGGGCACCTTCCGAAGCACGACCGCGGAAGGGCTAGATGATCTCAGGCAGCGGATCAGAGTGGTGGTGGAGGGACAAGCGGCAGTCCACCGGTGCAGTGGCTCGGTGGACTTCATGATGGAAACCATGAGGCCGTATCCGCCAACCGTCAACCACCGAGAAATGTACGGCCACGCCAAGCTGGTTGGAGAAGCACTGCTGGGGGAATCAAACGTGACGCTACTTCCGCCGATCATGGGGGCAGAGGATTTCAGCTTCTACTCTCAGAAGATGAACGCCGCCTTCTTCATGATTGGTGCTAGGACGACCAAAGTGGGCCCGCGACCAGTGGAGCCGCTGCATTCACCACGACTCGTCATTGACGAGGATGTGCTCCCCGTAGGAGCAGCTCTCCATGCTGCTGTCGCCATTTCCTACTTGGACGCCGGTGGTGTTGCTGCTGCTGCGGAATGACAAGAAACTGGATATATTGATAGATGATATCGTAGTAGAGATGACGTAGCGGAAACGTCAAGCCAAGTTTAAAGCGCCAACTTGGAACTGTATCTCGGTTTGAAGCACCAACCGAAAACTGAAACTCAGTTTGAAGCACTAACTGAAAACTAAGCGCTAACGATGAATCGATGTCGCCGAACGAACTAGAATTATTATTAGGCAAAACCTGTCTCTTTTCTATCTCTTACACACACGCCCCTAGAGCCTATTTATAATCAACAACCCAAGCTACCTCTAAGCACCAAACAGACAAGGAAAGTTTACCATATACGTAAACAAACACGAAACCAACTACGTAAACAAATAACTACTAATCCGACAAAGAAAAGGAAGACAAGAGCTCCTGCGTCAGGCCCCTCCACTTGGAATGACACTCGTCCGCGAGGGATCTGGGTAGAGAGGTTCATCCGCCGGATAGTAGGGAAAGATGTCGGCCACGTTGAAGGTATTGGAAATGCCGAATGAAGCGGGAAGCTCAATTTTGTAGGCATTATTGTTGATGCGATGAAGTACCTTATACGGGCCATACTTTCGGGGCTGAAGCTTGCCAGACGCTCCAACAGGTAGTCTCTCCTTGCGTAAAAATATCATAACATCATCCCCCTCCCTGAAGGTCTGATCTCGACGATGCAAATCTGCGGCAGTCTTGTACTCGGCTGTCGTCTTCTCCAACTTCTCTCGAACCTGAGTATGCACATCCCGGATTTGTTCTGCCAAATGCTTTGCCGAGACACTAGATGGGTGATCAGATGGTAAGGGTGCAAGATCCAAGGCTAAGCGCGGCTGCTGAGTGTACACAACTGCAAATGGCGCCACCCCCGTAGCTCGATGCGGTGCGGAATTGTAGGCAAATTCTGCTTGGGCTAATGAAAAGTCCCATTGCTTTGGCTTATCAAGACATAGGCTACGAATCATATTGCCCAAAGTGCGGTTGACAGCTTCCGTTTGACCATCAGTTTGCGGGTGAGCTGTGCTACTGAACTGGAGCTTCGAATCAAACATTTTCCACAGAACCCGCCAAAAATGACTAAGGAATTTGACATCACGGTCAGAGGTGATGGTCTTAGGGACACCATGAAGCCTGACAATCTCACGAAAGAACAACTTACCCACACTGACAGCATCACTAGTTTTCCGACAGGCAAGAAAATGGCTCATTTTTGAAAAACGATCCACCACGACACAAACTGAATCAAAACCTCGTTGAGTTCGGGGAAGCCCCACAATAAAATCCATTGACAAGTCCTCCCAGATGCGATCAGGGATAGGCGGAGGAGTGTATAAACCTGTGTTTTGCGAGGTCCCTTTAGCTTGTTGACATCGGAAACATCTTTGAACATGCCGGCCCACGTCACGGGTCAACTTAGGCCAGTAATAGCGATCCTTCAGTAGCGATAAAGTTTTATCTCTGCCCAAATGTCCGCCTAGCCCACCTCCATGTATATCCGACATTAATTTGTCGCGTAGCGAAGTTCGAGGAATGCACAGGCAATTACCCTTCATGAGGAACCCATCCCATATATAAAAGTCTCCCGGCGGCTGATTGTTTTGGCAAGAACGCCAAACTTCCTTGAAGTCTTCATCTCCTTCATATAGATGTTTTAGCTCATCGAACCCAATGATCTCTTGACGCATGACCGCCAGCACCTCTGCCCGTCTACTAAGAGCATCGGCCACCACATTCTGATTCCCCGGCTTATGGATGAGTTTGACCATAAACTTTTGTAGATATCCAATCCATCGCAAGTGCATCGGGCTCGGCGAGCGTTTTCCATTAGTAATGTGCTTCAAAGCTTGATGGTCGGTGTAGAGTATGAATTCCTTCCCAATAAGGTAATGCTCCCAATATCTAAGCGCTCTAATGACCCCGTAGAATTCTTGCTCATATGTAGACCACTGGCAACGAGCAGTACTAAGCTTCTCACTAAAATAAGCTATGGGACGCTTTTCTTGTGTTAACACAGCTCCGATTCCAACGCCGCACGCATCGCAATAGACTTCAAAAAGCTTGTCAAAATTCGGGAGTGCCAGCACGGGAGCAGAACATAGTCGAGCTTTGAGTTGACTGAAGCTTGTTTCGGCCTCTTTCGTCCACGCGAACTTGCCCTTTTTCAAACAATCCGACATGGGAGCAGCAATAATACTGAAGTCTCTAATGAAGCGCCGATAAAAAGATGCCAAACCAAGAAAACTACGAGTTTCGGTGACTGATTTTGGACTTGGCCACTCCCGTATCGCTTTGATCTTATTGTCATCAACATGAATCCCTTCTTGGCTGACCACGTATCCCAAAAATAATAATTTGGTAGTCATGAAATGGCATTTCTTCTTGTTGACATACAAGTGATTTTGCTGTAGAGCCACAAAAACCTCTCGTAGATGCTCCAAGTGAGACTCCTTGTCCCTACTATAGATTAATATATCATCAAAATATACCACCACCGATCTTCCCAAAAATGGTTTGAGAACTTGATTCATCAATCGCATGAAGGTACTTGGGGCGTTACTTAAACCGAAAGGCATCACCAACCACTCATATAGTCCCTCCTTTGTTTTGAATGCCGTTTTCCACTCGTCTCCTGGCCGAATTCGAATTTGGTGATAGCCATTCTTCAAGTCCAGTCGACTAAAGTATTGTGCCCCATGTAATTGGTCCAACATGTCATCTAATCGAGGAATCGGAAACTTATACCCAATAGTGATCTTGTTAATTGCCCGACTATCAACACACATTCTCCAACTACCATCCTTCTTTGGAATTAGGAGAGCTGGGACTCCACAGGGGCTTAAGCTTTCTCGAATGTGGCCCTTGGAGAGCAACCCTTCAACTTGATCTTGGAGAATTTGACTTTCTCGGGGACTCATCCGATAGTGAGGAAGATTAGGCAAACTGGCACCAGGGACTAAGTCGATTTGATGTTGTATATTCCGTAGGGGGGGAAGACCAGGTGGTAATTCCTCGGGCATAATTTCATCAAATTCTACTAGCAAGTGTTGCACTTCTTTCGGAGGCTTTGGAGTTGCGGCAGGTTTCGGCATCTCTTTCACCGCTAAGAGGAGTACTTCCTTACTCTCTTTTAAAGACCTCCCAAAGGTATGCCCATCTTCAATTGTCAGCAGCTTTAAAGGTTCATTCCCTGGTGGTCTTTCGTCCTTGGTACCCCATGGTATTAAACGATATTTCTTCCCGCCATGTCGAAACTGATAGGTATTCTTACGCCCATCATAAATTGCAGCGACGTCAAACTGCCAAGGACGTCCTAAGATAAGATGGTAGACATCCATATCCACGATATCACAGGTGATGTTATCCTTATAGTTGCCGATAGAAAAATTGAGGGCGCATTGCTCCGCGACTTTAACTTCACCGACTGATTTGATCCAACCCAAAGAGTAGGGCTTTGGATGACGTTTAGTTTGAAGCCCCAAGAGCGTGACCACCTTTCGACTTATGACATTTTCTTGACTTCCATTGTCGATGACCACGTTCCAAATCTTGTCATTGATGGTGCAGCTAGTCTTGAAAAGTCTGTGGCGTTGAGTTTCATCTTCTTGTTTTGGTGCAATGAGGATTCTTCGAACCACACAAGTTGAATGCTCCTCCTCTTCCTCTTCCAAAGCTCCGTCAGGTCCGTATTCCTCCTCCTCACTTTCCTCTTCCTTCGAATCACGGTCGATGGCTGCTGTTAAGTTGACATTCTTTCTTTTTGGGCATTCACTAGACTTATGACCTGGTTGGTTGCACCTGTAACACTTCCCAACGGAAGGCCTAGCGTAAGGATTTGATTGTTTATTACTTGTATCCACCTCCCTTTTTGAATTCACCTTTTCAGGGGCCAATTGCTTTGTGGTGGTCGAACTTGAAGATGGATTTGGGAATTTAGCATTATTTCCCTCGGACTCTCGAAAGTTACGTCGAGTATTTTCCTTTTTCTCTTCGACCTCAATTAGTTCTGCCCGTAGGGCGTAGGTCTGGGCGTCAGCCATGGATGGAATAGCTTGTACTCCAATGCGTTTGCGAAGACTTGATTTTAATCCGCTAAGGTAACGTGCCACCATCTGCCCCTCAGTTTCACCTAAGCGATTACGCTCTGATAAGCTTAGAAATTCAGAAGTGAATTCCTGTACTGGGCGATTTCCTTGAACACAAGAGTTATATTTTTGAAATAGAATCTGGTCATAATCCGGTGGGAGGAAGCGCTCTTCCATTAGTTTCTTCATCCGTGACCAAGACCGTATCGGAGCTTCTCCGGATTCTTCTCGATCCAACTCGACGCGATCCCACCAAACTGAGGCGCTGCCCTCCAGTCGATAAGCTACCATTTTAACCTTGCGATTCTCTGGAATTTCAGCATACTTGAAGAACCGCTCCACCTTGGCTAGCCAATCCATAAAGTCCTCGATTCCTGCAGTGCCAGCAAAACTAGGCAAATCCGCTCGCAATTTGAATTCATCGCCAGCCCCACGTACGCCATTACCCACATGGAATCCTCTGCGTGCACCAAACTGTCGGGGTTCTTCGACATAATCTCCCCATTCAGGAGGGGGATCCGGTTCCCATTGGTCGTGATAGGGACCCAATTGGTTTCCTCTACCCCTAGGGTTCTCTATGAATCGTTGTCCCACTCCCCGAGCTCTACCACGTCCCTGCATGTGATCGCGTTGCTCGTGTGCCCTTGTCCATTCCTGCATATATGGATCATGATGTTCAGCTCGTGGTTGATTTACTACTTGACGTCCCGGATTTCGTCGATTAGGATAGACTTGCTCCCATACTTCCTCCTCTTCGAGCTCGACGTCCTCATGCATGTTCACGTGTGCTTGACGGTGGCGTCGTGGATTTTCGGGCGGAGGTCCGCCTCGTTCCCTATTCCCACGAACCCTTAACCCATTAAGGAGGGTTTGAATATCTTCTACCGATCGAAGAACTTGGGTCATCTGCTGACCTAGTTCTCTTG